CTTGGGGCTTTCAAACATGTCGCCGGGGCCCGAAAAGGGCCTGCCCTAAAATACGGGGACCATGCATTTGGTTGGCTGAAACATATTCCGTGCTCAGCAGGGAATGAGAACTCGAACGAGCCCTTTAAACCATCCAACTGGTGGTTTCCTTGAAGGGAACCAAAGCCTGGGTTCATTCCAACCCATTCCCCACACCAGCGCGAAAACACGGAAGCCCCTTTGCGTTCGTGACATTCACGTCCTGCAGACTCCCGCGATGCCGAAGTCCACCAACTTCAAGGGGGCATCCCCGTGCCCGGAGCACGCCTCGGATGGCCAGCTGCAAGAAACGGCCGATATGGGGCAAAGGGCTAGATCATGTTTTACTTTTCAAAAAGACGGGGCAAAGGCTTCAAACATAAATCATCCCCCGCAAAAAAGTGCCCTGATGCGAGTTGAACATGACATTTGCAACGGCTTCTCATGCGCAAACTCAAAATGTGGACACGGCAACACATACGTTCACAGACCAGCAATAGACAGGGGACAGAGTTGCCAGCGCTTGATTCGCAAAGGGGAGTGGTTTTGTACCTGAAAATCTTGCATGCTGGTTTCCTCTGGCTGCCATACATGCTGGTTTGCCCAGTGGCTCTCACTGACATCACAGGGAACAGCGCCCGAGTTTTCGGATGAGACCATGGCAAGAGATCCAAGGATGGGCATTGAAATCACATCATATATCAAAACCTGGGGCTGTCTTTTCATCATGAGTATTAACCTTTCCTCACCGAAAGGGTTCCCTCGCCTCACATTCCCACCTTTCCTGTGGGTTTCCTTGAAATCCAGAAACCAAAATCACTTCCAGAGTGGATGGGCTAAAAAGATCACCAACCTTTTTCAATTGGTCCAAACCCAAAAAGCGACTAAAATCCAGGAACCGTGGCCCAAGGCACTATTGGGATAGCACTGCCCTTGCCAGGCTTGCCACAGCTGAAGAGCAAGTTCTGAGGCTTGATATCTCTATGGGCCACCTCAGTCAGGGGGGCAAGGAGATGAGCATGTGTAAATCGCCCTGCTTGACATGTATTTGTATGTGTACAAGTATATATAAATGTATGTATATATATATACATACATAGATGCTCCCCCCTGCCTCCGCATGATCCACATGCTCATTCATAAGCCTTTGAATGTGAACAAGTCACTTCTAAACATATTGTAAGAGCAGTATAAGGTTGGTGAAAGCAAACACAAACCATATGCGTCAATCCTAGTATAGAAATATGATATTAGAACCCCTGATCTGTTCATTCATTCTGAGTAATTCAAACAGTCATGAGAGCAAATACCAAAAGCACAATAGTTGTTAATCATGCAGCTTAAATGGCACTTGCTGCTTGTACATTGGAATGGTAGGATGCGCGATTACAATTTGTGATAAGAGGTTCGAAATAGTGTTCGTCTTCTAATCAATCAAACAAGTTGTGGGGTGTGACACTTAAATTCATCAAACCATGCGTCATGGGTCATACTCATATCGAACATGCACTCACGAGCTAGTGTATAACGCTTGTCACATCAGCTGCTGTTTGTTCGTCGAACAGCTATTCCTGTATGAGACGGGAGTGTCTTGGACGTGTGTAAACGATTTCGCTTCATGTTTCGTGTTGCAAGCAGTAAACACGTGTGTTGGTGCGAAACACTTGCTTAAGCAACACACATTGACATTTCACATATGAGTATGTACAGTGTTGGCCGACATTCACTGTTGAGCCGGTCATGCTTGAAACATATGATGTTTATCAGGGTTGGTCTCATGCCACACACTTGTGCACATGACCTTCACTCGTATATCACGCCATACCCATTCCGAAATACTGACAATATTGTTAGGCCACAAACTTAAACATGTGTTGGATATACAACGCAGCATTAGAAAATTGAGTGAGTGGTAAAGTCATGTGTTGCATGCTGATATTGCGTTCAAGCATCATGCATGATGAGTAATGCCCACTGCAGAAAGCACCCAACTGAAGAACACAAGCAGCATACAACAACTTGCAAACACAATCTATAACATTCCCAGCCAGGATTGTTTGGCTTAGACAAGCATAAGCTCGTAAGTCGCCCAGAAATACATGTCGTATGTGTAAATCTCCGATGTCGGCTGGGCCAAAAGCACACAGGCCCCACAAGTGCTGTGACCCACATTTGTGCTAAATGAATCGTCCAAACTTGGGGAGCCTCGGCTTGCTTGAGAAATCACGGGTGCGCCCACGAATCTGGTTGGATGGATAAACCACGATTAAAGGCCAGTTTGCCTGAGCTTCGTCCACTTTGCTCGGTCTCTGCAAGTGAGTACAGGGCGCACAGCGAAGCAAAACACGCTCACACAGCGCTGCACAGCAAAAAGGAGTGACCACGCATCGATCATTGACTCGAAATCCATGGACCTCGAGTACCAGAATGATTATGGAGCAGCTGACCATAGCTAAGAATGAATGACAACTGTTTACAATTGCGGCCAGCTGCAGGGCACTGTTCAATTTTAGGACTGCAAGAGTTTCTCTAGGACCCATCCAGCCAGAGCAGCAAGCCAGAACGCTAACCAGCCAACTCGCTTTCACTTGTCCCGCATGCGCTCATTCCCTAGTTTGAGGGACCTTGGACACTGAGCAGGGGGTCTGGAATAAGCACATCAACCCTCTTGGTGGCTTCCTTTACCCAGCCAACATGGAATTCTACTAACCCCTGGAAGAGTGGTGTACCTGTAATTTTGGAAAGCCACTTCGTGGGCGGCCAGAAAGTGCCACGAGTGCCTCCCAAAGATATTCGGCTCAAAGTGACACGGAGCCCAAACCTGCCTTGGAAACTCGCAGGGATCTGCAACCGGCCATGGCCCGCATGGATGATCTATAGCCGGCCCCCAGGGACCCTCAAGCAACGGTTGCTTTCTCGGGTTGGCAACGTCCCATAAAAAACACCACATGTCTACCCCGGTGTCAACGTTGACCACGGAGAAAACGGGTTTTCCACTTCAAGCAGCCACATTGTGTCCCTCAGGGCCACGGACCTATTGATTACTATTGCAAGTAAGGCGTCAGGATTGCTCTGCAAGTGACAGTTGGTGCAACTTGCAACACTGCTAGAGCTGATCAGTCCAATCTGCACTAACCACCATTGACCAAGCTTTACTCTTCGAAATCCGGGGACCCTCATCTTGTGGGGCTTCTCTCCCCCAATTTGGTTTCCTGCCAGAGCGCCGCGTGCGCGTGGCAGTAGGCGACGCCCTGCAGCATCTGCACAGTAATTCTGCAAAGCTCGTCCTCTGAAACGCCGGGGCCATACGAGTCGTGGGCCGTCCTCGGCGTTGACATTTCAGCACGGCTTCTAACGCAACGACGTCTTAAGGGAACCGCTTTTGAGAAATTTTACGTAAACCAAGTCACCACTCAAAACAGATTGAGCCATGTTTACCGGCCAAACTTACTCAGAATTCACCAATGTAGTCAGCCAAATTGGCAACTGCGTAGGGGAATAAGTATGGACCGTGGCTGTATGGCTCGAATAAGAGGTCAAAATAGGTCGGTCGAGGGGGGTGGCCCCCCCCCCACAAAAGCCTTTGTAATTGCCCTACCCGGCGCACATGGGGGTTTGCCAGAATCAATACTTTGCTTACGGCGTGGCATAGGACCAAGAGAACCAGATCTTCATCAATCCATTTTGGACGACTTCCTGATTCTCCAGATGAACTATGATCGTTGTTATCAAAAAAAGACACATCGTCTTTGCATTCCAGTTCCGCAGCCGCTTCGTTCCCATCTTCAACAGGCATCGCCCATGAAACATGACGCCCGAGATGTACTTAACCAATTCAGACTCAAGAGGCTTACCAAGGGACAAGCCCTTCAAGGCTAGAGTTTATCAGCAGAACAACTTGCTATTGCATGGCCCGTCGGCCAAAGGACAACGACAAGAAATGGTGCTACCTTGGGCCGGAATCGCCTAATCAGAAGCTCTGTCGGATTGGCCAAGGTTTGCTTTGACACCACTTTGGAAATGAATGCCACTCTCATTGTTGTTCAATATTAGGTGAAACAACCTAACCATGAACCCGGTTAAAGAGAAACTTCGAAGAGTTCACAACTCAACTATAGTCTCCTGGACTGCGGGTCAGTGTCCGAACTTGTGAAGTATGTGCGGAATCACTCATGATAACTCAACTCAACAAAGATAATAAGTTGGGAAAACATAGAAGTTTGGATTTGCTTTCTTGGGTCGCCGTGATTCTGTTGCTCGTTTTGTGCCTCCTGCCCTCCGTCCCGCAACACAGAACTCCGCAACATGCTTTTTGCGGTAAAAGCACAACAGAATCAATCCGGCGCGGAGATTGAACATCGGCCACGTGTCTGAATGTACTCCGACAAGGACCCACCAGAGCACATCTCCATGACGAGATGGATGTCGCTAGCCTCAAAGCGAGCGCTCATGCTTTGCCCGCCTGTTGATCAAGCCTCAATGCTCAAGCAATCTCCAAACTGGGCAAGCGTTGTAAGGAGGCGCGCTTACATGTATCAAATGGACATCCTGTTCTAAGCTTGCTCTTGATGCTCGGCCTTGTAGCATGGGCACAACAAGGGGTGCCCAGTTGTGACACAAACACAAGCACAGTCACAACACCTATTGAGCAACATCCATCAACTATTACTCCAGATGTGATCATGCTCCCAAAATGGATATCGAACTTCCGGGGGAAACCAAAGGGAACCAACCCACTTATCTAAACACATCCCATGGTGACTAAACCCATTTATACAAACAACCCATCAAACGCCACATCCCATTTGTCTTGATGGCAGTTCGCCATTTGGACCAAATATGCTACAAACAAAAAGAAGACGCTACAAACCATCCGCAACCAGCATGGCACCGGGAGGTGCCATGTCGCCTGACTGGATCGATTCCTGGGTCGATGGTCCCCTCCCTTCCGCCTTTTTGTTCAAGGGCCTGTTGTTCTGTTTGAGGGTGCCCAAAATGGCTTTAAACAATCAACAGTGACCAATGCCGCTAGAAACACAGAGCGATCAAATCACATTGAGCAAATGGCCGCTATGTTGAAAACCGGAGGGGTTCAAGCAGGGAAGCCGAAGTCCTTTGAGTTATAACAAGGAGCATACATGTTGCTCAGCTGGGAACGCGTGCATTGGACTGGAGCACAATTCCCCTAGATGGCCTAGCTGCATGGGCACCCAAGACTGCAGAAGGACCAAAGTGATGAGCCACTGAGCCATTAGGAGGCCCCTCAGGGAGGCCAAAACAGCACAGAACCACACGCCATGTTTCGGTGAGTTGTTGCACAAGACGAGATATCCATCAATGACTTGTCTTGAAACTAAACCACTACCATATTAAACCGCCGCACACTCACAATGTACACTAATAGGAAAGGGGGTCGCTCTTGGACAAATGACCAGGGTCTTCCCAGGACGTCAAGTTGTGTCGGAACGGACGACTGAGAAACCATCACGCACTTTGAATGCGAAACTCAAAATGCGATGCCAGCGTCCGGGTTGCTAGGCGAGATGCGCTTCATTGTGTCCTATGTGTACGCATATAATTACAGGAGGATGTCTGTTCTTTGAGAAAGGGACAAACCCCTGTCCGAACTCTTGAGGGCGGGCTCCCCCATTTCAAGAGACACCCACATATTTGTATCAAACAATATTTCTCTGCATTTCGACGCTCTCCCATTCCTGTTGGATCCGCCAAGAGTCGTCCTCGAGGGTTTCGTAGTAGCGCACAGTGTTTGGATGATCAGACAACCTCGGGTAGCTTGCGAGCCAGGCTTAGGAGCTATGGAGACACTCACCGTTTCCTACAGGGTGGTTGGAATGGGTCGTGCCCAAAGCTAAGGAGAAGAGAAAAACAGCCAGCAGGCGAATGAAAGCTCAGTTGTCAGGCCGTCCCTGTGAAAGCCGCCAATGCTCCGGGCTGAGCAACAAGATGCATGTGCCAGGAACAACGAGTTGTTTAGTTCTTCGCGGGGTGTGCTTCCAGGGAAAAACCCGGAAAACTGAAGGATATGGCAGCGAAATCCTATTTCTGGATTAACTTTTAGGGCAGGTTTGAGGCTTGTGACCTCACACCATCGGGTCCGAGAAGCAATCTCGCCTTGTCCTGGCTTGCCGGAACTTGACTCGCCACTCCTACGATGCGAAACTTCACCAGCTTGGGCAAGCCTATGGGGCGACAGAGCCTGCCATTAAGTCGACACACCTGACTTCCGTAAACTGGGAGGTTTTGCTCGAGTGGGTCAGACCGTCACATTTGCCTTGAGTCAATCTTGCTCCAGCCATCACGGAAGCGCACAAAAAGCTATTGATGGCTACTATACTGAGTATCGTCCTTTTAGTTTTATGTTTTCCTTTCAAATAACTCTGCGAAAACAAGCATACCCACTTTGGATCAGCAGGACAAGCTTCTAGCACTCTTACGCAATAAGCCGCGTCAGGGGAATGTGTTTCCTTTGCGTCTCAGTGGAATGAAGCAAAGAACGGCATGCTCTCAATCGGTGGGCGACGAATACGCAAAGCATAGATCATGGACGCGAATACTTAAACTCAGCTCACCTTTGTTTCTACCGCTTCACAGCTCCCCTGATCGGACTTCGTGAGGTAAGCCATTATTGGGTTAGGACCTTTTGCAGCGCCAAAACAGTATCAAAAGCTCTTGAGACGCCTCCTTAAGTCGCAAAATTCGCCTTGAGGAAGCTCTTCAACCACCGCGAAACTTCTCCGTTCCACCGCCGACCCAATGTAATTCCTGATGCAGCGAGCCCGGAGGCTCCAGGGCCGGGAAGCAGTCAGATCCTTTGAGACAGGGATCTTGCCGCCTCAAAACCGATCAAATTCCCCCAGAAACGGAAGTCGGAACCGATCCAACTCCGGTCAAATCCCTCAAGAAACCGGCCAAATCCCCCGCCATCCCCTTTCAAGTCCAGCCAAATCCTGCTAGAAACAGGTCAAATCCCCCCTCTCAAAGCCAGCTTAAGTCCGGTCAAAAATCCACTTAAAACTGGTCAAATTCCCGTCCAGAAACCATGCAAAATCCTCCCTAAAAGGCCGCAGAAACCGATCAAACAAGTCAGAAGAAACCGGCAAAATCCCCCCCAGAAACCAATCAAATTTCCTAGAAATTTGCATCAAGCTCACTGCCACTCCGTAGCTCTGTGGCTCTCGTTCTGGCCCTTGAAGGCGCATTTCGGCGCCGACTCACTCAGTCTAATAAACACAATACTTCAAGACAAACTAAGACACGGTGTGTACCTCAAAGCCAGCCAAGAGCGGGCTGGCCGAGGCGGGCAACGCGAAGAACTTACAATTAATTGGACTACTTGTCGGCCTGCAACCCCGGTTGTTCTGTTTAAAAACTGTTTGCTTGTGATTGACTACCTCTAACTTGTCCCAGGAAATATCCCCAGCATCACCTGGACCAGGTTAGGCTGGAGCCGTGGTATTGCTGGTCAGGAGGTCAAAGGCTTGTCCCTGGTACAAACGGATGCCAAGCCAGCCAATCCTAAAGACTCTGCCATACAAATCAGGCCCAAGCCAACCAATCCAAAGTCAACCCTAAACCCACCCAACAGCAGCCTGGATAGTAACCCTTTGCCGTGCCTCAGTGAACCAAGCAAACACAAAACCTGCTTTCATCAAGAAGTCAGCAATCCTAAAATTCACCCAACCAACACCAGCCCCAAACAACTCTAAACCGCCCGCGAGAAAAATAAAACAGCCCATTCTGGCGATGACTCCCCAAAACACGGCTGGACTAGGCCAAGAAGCTTCAGGAACTCCACTTCCAGCTGCAACATCTCCTGAAAAGCGCCAACAAGTGTCCTGTGCGTGCATGTGCAGGAAGATTGTACTATGTGCATACTATGCATATATGGGGTATGTGTACATACGACGTTTTTGCTGCCGCTATCTAAAATCCCTGCTTCCCGGACCGCCATCTTTGCGCAGAAAAAACGGGCGTTCACGACCTCCATCGCGAGCTTGCGCATAACCACGACATTCAATGCAAAAGTAGTACACGAAGTAAACCTCCGCAGCCTCAGCTCGAAAGTTGAAATGGTTCAGTGCAAAATTCAAGCACATGAAGTAGACCTGTGCAGCTCCGGTCGAAGTCGCAACTGTTCAGCTCCGAAAGTAGTACACTAAGTGCACTTCTGCAGCACCAGCCCCAAAGCCGTGCAGCGGCATAGAGAGGGAACTCATGTCCGAAAGCGGGGGGGGGGGGAGGGGGGGTCCATCGACTTTCGTGAAGCTTTCGCGGACCTTGCGAGAAACACTACCGAACATCTGGCTGGGAAGTTGCACCCGAAAGCTTCAAAACTCCGACAAGCTACTTTCTGCTCGGGGTTGCTTTTGCATTCTTGCGGCATCCTCAGGCCATGCTTTCCTCCGACCGACTTTAGTCTGTGTGCATTCTGCACACACTGCCGGCAAGTACACATGGTTCTACACCACACTTCCACGGACAACAACTTTACTTTTACGACCTCCTTCGTGAAACTTTGGCAGCAGGCAACACAAAGACCAAACGGTCCCCCCCCTTCATATCTCAATACAAGGACCTTTCGGACGACTCCCACATGTATGTATTCGTATGATAAAAGTATGGACCAAGGTAAACCAGTGTATGTAAAAAAAACATTTATATGAACATGCACATATGCCATGTGCAAGGAAATATTGCTTGCTTGCTTGTTTGCTTGCCTACCTGCCTGCTTGCTTGCTGGATTGCTTGACGCATTGAATGACTGAATTGATTGACTGTTTGATTGATTGATTGATGGATGGATAGATTGATTGATTGATTGATAGACAGATAGATTGATTGATTGACTGATTGATTGATTGATAGGCAGATCAGATAGATAGATTGATTGATTGACTGATTGACTGACTGACTGACTGACTGACTCACTGACTCACTGACTGACTGACCGACCAGACCACCGACCAACTGACTGACTGACTGACTGACTGACTGTCTGTCTGTCTGTCTGTCTGTCTAACTGTCTGTCTGACTGCCTGACTGTCTGACTAAATAACCAAGCGAGTGAGGGGAATTTCCAGAGTCATCTGTGTTACTTCTTATTGTACCCCGTCTAGCATGCCTGGCTAAAAGAAAGAGAGCCTGGAAAAAATGAACGCGCCCTTGTAACTTCCTATACCAGTGATATGTACGCTCGTGGGATATCCAGCCAGCAATGTTGCCCGTCACCTCCAGTTCATCAAAGTCCCCTGGAAGAAAGTGACCCCCCATATTCACCCGGCTGGCTAGCGGCTAGTCCTAACGACCATAGGTCCACAGGACCATCCAGGTCCCCAAACAGATTGGTTACCTGTAGGGGGACTCCTCATCCCAGATCGGTCCGGAGGAAGCTTTTGATCTGGAGTGGGATGGGTGCCCGTCGACATGGTAAAACGGCCAAGAAAAAAACTACTCGATATGTTCTTGCTTGGAGGACAGTGTGCAATATTGACAGTCTGTGTCCAACGTCGACGGTCATGTGGAGGAACACCCCATCTGAAGTTGACATGGCAATGTCATCCAAACCTGGGCCAACTGTTGATCAATAGAGGAAGTAAACTCATCACAAAATGGGCGAATTCATGAGAAAACATGGCAAAGGAAACAACTCTGATAAGCAACCGACACGAAGAAATTTGAATAAATCTCCAGCCGCTGGACAGAAACCCACACATCATCCGAGTTTCTTGTGTCCCCCCTGTAATGGTGACCCCGTATTAATCCAACCCAGTGTATTAAAAGAGGGGTGCTCCTCTCCAAAAGTGATGATCCGCCACTAAACCCAGACACCTATGAATAAACTGCGGTTGATTAATAATTTTGGAGTCAACATTACTCGTCAGTGCCGAAGAATCACACAGATTTTTCGTTGCCTCGTCCTCCAGCTTGGATTTCCCGATGGACTTGATCGCCACAAACTCGCCTGCGAGTTTCGATCGGAAGGTGCCAACGATTGAAAAGCTCCCTCAAACAGCCGGAAGCTCCCAGAAGGCCGATCCTGTAAATGGAACCAAGTCTTCCAAAGGGGTCCTGGCAGCTTCCATGTTAGTCTGGGGAGGATAATGGAAAAGTGATGTGAGTCTTGCCCCGACAGGTGTTCAAGGTGTGTAAGAAACCATCTTAGAAGTAATTATCCCTCATCTTAGGAAGATCGACACTCTGCAAATCCGCGAGCAATCAATTTCAAGATGGTGCTCAAAGCGGCGAGCGGTGAAGAGCTTTATGCAAGGAGCCAAGATCAAGCTTTGAAGACGAAGGACGTGACGCCATGCTGTGCCCATGCCATTGTCCAAGGGATGCATTCCGCCACCCAAACTTCAAAGTGAGCATGACATAATATGCATGCATGTCACATGATGAACAAAGCGAGCAAAGTGTGCATCCTGTCTCCAACACTCAACACAAGCACGTTCAAGAGGCGTTGACGTGCTCCGAAAATTACCACTGTGGTCTAAAGTACTCCCTTCGAAGAGTCAAAAGACTGTGACTGCAATTGGTAAAACCCAAAGGTGGAGCATCCCAACTGCCAGGGCAATTCGGTAGATGGCATCTGTTTCCTTTTATTCATGTGGGGAAGTAAAGGGGAAGACTAAACAATGGGGAGTAGTGACATCAATCTTCACCCAACGGAAGTCCAGACTCAGACTCCTTCCCTCTAAATCCAAAAACAAAAGATGCGCCTGTGCGCCGATGCCGCGCACGGTGCACCGTGCCGAAGCCTCCTGAGCGCTGATGCAGCTTACTTTCCCAAGATGAGCATCGGATACAGATTGCTTAGTAGTTTGCTGGTCCCGCAAAAGTCAGATCTTAAGTGGGTATGCCATAAACACCTCTCAACTCTAAAGGTCTAAAAGTTTGGGGGTACGGCTGGGAGTAAGAATAAAATATTTACATGTCGATGAGTAACAAGGGTGCCACCCTTTGTCTATCCGCTGATCACTGGAGGGCATCGACCTGCGAAAGGCACATTCGGCAAAGGACACCCCTGTGACCAACCCAAAGTACGTTCGGGAAGCAAGCCTTGCAAAACCAGACGAAGCGGTCCCAAAAGAGAAGCCTCCAGAAATGATGTTGTTGGGGTACCACAGCAAACTGAAGGGGAGTAAGAAACACATCACACATGACACCCCCCAGCAAGGTCCATCCAGTAGCCGCACATTCCGTGTCACACAATTTGTAGAAACAAGTCAGCACAAACAATATGCCCAACTCCAAAATACCCGATGTTGTCCAACTGTCGGCGGACAACATCATGCACCGGTTGGTAGGTGGTTTTTGTAGGGCTTGATCCATCCCAAGTGCTGAAATGGGTGTGGCTCAAAATTAAACGATCGGAGGGGAAACCGCAGGTTTTGGTCCATGTTTCCACTTGCCAGGGCAACCCATTTTGGAATTCCGGTTTTTTGAGCCAGCCAAATGTGTCCATCCAAAGTACACGTAGCTTACAAGCCTCTCTTCTGTGGCGATGCACGTTGAGCAGCTGACCGTACACTCCGTGTACAAATGAGTCGGGATGCTAAGTAGGGGGTCTGGAAATGTCTTGGTGTGCAGTTGGTTAAGTACAAGAACATTTGACAAAAAGAAAACAATAGAAATATGGGCTATTTAGCACCCAGGACCATAAACCAACCGGAAAACAGAAAGCCCACCCTTCAGGACCTTCATGGGTGAGCTGGTTTAAGCCACACGTCAACCTGGAAACTGTCTTGCAGGCCAGCTAAACCGATTTTATGCTCCTGTTGCTATATCGAGATATAGTGGGTGTTTCAAGATCAGGGACTCGTCTATGAAATGCGTTGTTTCCTTGCTTTATTGTTCAAACCATCTCAACAGATCCCTGGTTGGACACGTTTACAAGATGCTTCTCTGTGCTAAACAAAAGCTTCCGGCATTCTATCAGAAGTATATAGCTGGCATCGGCTGGCCTTCGCCCACGACTTCCTGGAAGTCGTACCTGGGCTGTTCCATGATCACAACCTCTCGCGTGGAGCTGTGGTCACCATACAGCATGCGGGATAAGATAACAACATAACATGAGAGAACTTGTCAGTTGCGAACACGATCTTCAGATTCGCCCTCCCGAGTGCCAGGCTTCTCTCGATAAACATAAGCAGCGTTGCCCTGCATCAGCGTGCATACAATTAAGTGAACTCGCACCAAGCGCGCACACACACACACAGACTCACACAACCAGTCCAATTGCAAAGCAGGGGACGCATTGTGCACAACATCCCACGCGACATATCCATATCAAAACACAGAAGCTGGAACATAAGGCGGTGCGATAGTATCAAGTGGTACATATCACGCAAAACGCTCTTCGGTTTGCAGTGTGTCTTGAGCTGCGTTCCCGGTGCAAAAACTAAAACACAAAATCAGCTTGGTTTCGTCATCCAATGTCGCCCTTTCAAGGAGCGCCCCTTTGGTGGACATCATTTACAGGTGGTTCCCTACTTTACAAAATCATAGGAATGCCATTGCCGAGCTTTAAATCAAGGTTCTGGCGTTGAGCATCTTTCGAAGGCTCGGTTTTTAGGCAAACATGATTCCTGGTTCCCCCCAGAGTTCCATTCTGTGACAACTCCAAAGTGGACTTGAACCCAGGGTGGTTGATTTCCCCAGAAGGGACACTTTCGGGTTTAAGTCTAACTTGGGGTAGTCAAGAAACGGAACCCTGATTACCCCCTTTATTTTAACAAACAAAATGCCATTGCCGAGATTGAAATCAAGGTTCTGGCTTGGAGCATCTTTCGAAGGCTCGGGTTTTCAGGGTGACCCCGTTTTCCCTTTGGCTCTTCACCTCTGAGCCGTCCCGCTGGGACCTCCGGCAGCTCCTGGATGGAATCCACGCTGAGCGCCGACTCGCGGACCCGCTCGTGGCGGCGCCAAGCGATGAAGGAGCCCCGGGCGAACCTGGAGCTGGGAGATCAAAGGCGCCATGCTTTTTTTTGGAGGAGACCCACGTCTTTGGGGTTGGTTTAAAAGGGAGAGCACCATTACATTTCAACCATTTTGTGGGGTTCACCATATCATCTCGCTGAGATCTTGGTGGCTATTATCAAAGAAACCAGCTACAGGAAATTCTGCAGGAAACTAGCCAAATACCAACTAAAATCAGGGTTTCCTGTAGAACTTCCTGTAGTTGGTTTCTTAGATATTACCCCTTGCCAGAAACAAAATCAAGCTCCTGCCCTTACTTACCATACAGAGCGCCTACCAAAAGAAAGACCTAGCCCATCCCCTTTGGTTTCCTGGCAAGGCACCCGCCAGTCTTTGGGCCGGGAACGTAGCGCTTGAAGGCCCCGTCGTCGCCTCGGAATCGAGAGTCTCTAAGCACCCCCGCCTGGAGGAAACTCAAACAACATGGAGCGTGTGTCAAAAATTGGGTGGCCTCCCTTTGTTATGTCAAAATAGGCGACCCCCTCAAATGGCTGGTTTCTTCTTGGTTTTCCTTCAAAACAACCCAACAAAAACTGTGGCCTGACAAACCACACTCATTGACAAAAGAAACATAAGGGCTGTGAAGCAAGATCCCTCAGAAAAGAAACATCTTGCTTGCACAACACCAATGATGAGCCACACGCAAAATCCACTCATTTGGCTGTCTCTGCTCTCAATAACAAAGCTCTTGGCTGCATGTGAAAACCGTTTGAAGTATGTCATGATTGGGTCACGCTGGACTCCGGACTCACCGCAAAAATGCTGGGTTTCACCCAACAGCTGAACTTCTGAAAGCTATGGAGCCTCCAGATCTGAGGTGGGGAGCTTTCAGGGAGCGTTCCGGAGGGTTCCGGGGGTTCCGGAGCGAGCTGTTAGGGGATGGCATGTGGGCTTCTGTTGGTTTCCCTTAAACCAAAACCTGAGAACCAAACTGATGGTTTTCCTGTTGGTTCCTCGAAGATTGCGGTTTTCCTGTTGCTCTCCCTTCAACAAAACACCTGACAAGCCAACACCCGCAAATAAACGCCCCACGGGCGTTTCACACACTCCAGCGGCTGCCGCGACGTTCGAGCGAGCGGCGGTGCTCGATCTCGGTGCTCGTGGAGCTCCAGCGGCATCGACGTGCCTCGGGGAAGAAATCGAAGCCAGAGCTCACGACATCCCCAGTGAATCCATGTCACATGGCCATGGGCTTTTCAAAATCCAAATCGGTTAGCCCCCAAAAATCCGATTCAATCCAACCACTCAAATATGTTCTGAAATGGGTGGTGAATTCACCTACCCCAAAATGGTACTATTGGTTTTGACCCACAGCCACATAGGAAAAACCAAGGGGAACTACCACAAACCTGGGGAACAAGCCAGGCAACCAAGGAGAAACTACCCTTCAAAAACCAGGAGGAAAATAGCTGGTTACCTATTAACTACATGGGTACTACATGGGTACCCTTCCCTTCCACTAACTTAGCACCTGGGGGATGGTACCTGAAAGATGATGTTCCTCTTGTGACCCTGCCATGTTAGTGGTTCTCTTGTAGGGACCCCCTGTCAGTTGCCATGTTTGTGGGAGTCAGGGCAACCCTTAGGTGGTGGTTTGGATTCGTTTGGGGATTTGGCATGCAGAAACAATCAACAGAAGCCGTGAAGCAAACAGCCGCCGTCGAAGGTGCTGAGGCTTGGGGTGAAGGAAAGAAATTGTCTTCCAGCTTGTGTTCAGCCTGCATCGGAGTCTACAAGGTCAAGTTCCAGCACCAGAAAAAGAGTGAGGCGATGATGCCCCACAAAAAAAAAGCTCTAAAATGATTGGCCTACCCCCAAACCACTACTCCGAAACACAAAACACGTAAACACCGCTGCGGGAAGAGGACAACACCATAGAAAGGCAGGCCAACGCGGCATTAGCTTTAGAAGGATCAACCAAATGTGAAACATGTTGGAAGGAATCATTGGTTTCTCTGGGCTGAAGCTGGCCGGCTGGCCTGACAAAAGGGAGCACGAGAAGTCCGACTCACCCGACTCACCGACTCAGATGTGGATGTTCCTATTCGGACCCCTGGATGAAATTAAAGGCGGCCCAACCCCAATTTTGGCTGCACCCAAGTCATCCTGATGTTCAGCAGGGTTTTGTTGTGGCACGAATCAAGCATTGTCTGATTGCCCAAGTATGCAAACGCTCGGGCTGAACGTGTTGACAAGCGGACTGTCATTTAGGCTGATTGCAACAAATGAATTGTGGTTGAGATCACGCGAGCAGCAGCATCAAAGGAAACCATGGACAACTGAGGGCGAGATGGTTGTTCCCACAATGAAAGTACTGATATTGATGACTGCAATCCTAAGACCCTAAGAGACATCAATTAGACTTAGACCCAAGACAGTCTGGCGGGCACTTTCTGTTTCTGAGGGCCTGTGCTTTAAGTCACCACGAAGTGGAGGGTCTGAGAAACTTCCAACGGCGAAACAAAAACATGGCTTGCCCTCTGGCTCGGCGTTTTGTGCTTGATCCCTGACTTAGCCAGGAATCCTGCACCGAGCAAAGCCCGCTGGAGTAGCTGACATAAAAGCGGGTTGTCCAAATGCGGAAATACCATGAAATACCTGATATGCGGCGCGGTTTATATAGCGAGCAATTGCAAAAGGGTAGCTTCAAAAGAACAACACCCCAGTAGACATTGGAGTCCCTCAACAAAACCATCGAGGCCAACGGCTATCTTGGGACAAAAAATGCGATCTGCATTTTGCTTACACACCCATAATAACACGCATGCACCCTTAATGCGCAGCTGGGCTGCCAGTGGAAGCCATCGGCGGCATAACATGAGGCCGGACCGTACGGACACGCGGGCCGGCTGATGTGAAAAGGGCTATATAGAATCTTAGAAGGTAAACATTACAATGTTTACTGGGTTTGTCCAAAGAATAATGCATGCACATCCATCACTCGGAAGGCATCTGCTCTGAGGTAATTTCAGGCGCGAACTTGCAAGCCGCAAGACATGAACCTGGACCAAGTGCAAAGGCTAAGTCACAAGGATGAACATGAAACACGTCTGGACAAGTCATGCCCTGGAGTTGGAGTTGGGGTGATGTGGTCACTATTGATGCATTCTTGTGCGCACAGTGTGCCGGGAAGATGCCTGCGGCGCGAGCGCCAGTGTCAATGGATCCCGAATCAACTTGCGGCTTCTGCAAGGAATCGCCAAGACATCAGCGTCATATGAGGAATCATCTGACCAGCTGAGTTCAATAAGCAATCCAACAAAGCCAAACAAACATTCATTCACCAACTCTGCAGGCAAGTGTTAGCAAAGACTCAACGGCCTGCAGGGCTTACCCTTGAAAAGGTGTCGAAAGCAACTTGTCACTGGACAAACCAAAGGTATTGTGCCGTAGAACGGCAACTTAGGGAGCACATTAATAACCCGAAGGGAGCACATTGGTAACCCAAAGGTTCTCGCTTTGAACTGTGCTCGCGCTATTTGTCACGGAAGCCATATGAAGGCATGGCTCACACGTTTCGAGTCCTCCCCTCACCAGTATCAAGCTTCATCCAGCCAAAATCCCACCAGGCCCAAACCAAACGATTTCATTCAGGGTCTTACCCCGGAGGATCACTTGCGGAGAGAAAGCGCCCTCTTGTGACCGCGCATGGCAAATTGGCAAATGGTCACAAGCCGCGTAGGTTCGCCACGTGTTGGTTACCAATCATGGCAAAGTATCATGACCCTGATAATGGCTAGTCAAATTTCGTGACCTCTCCCAATGATCTCCTGTGTGTCCTGGGCAGGGTTCCCAGCTGCACACGAGCGGCCAATATTCTTGTCCCCTACCAATCGTTGGTTTTTTTTGGAACCCATTTCCTGATGAGAACCCTCCCTCCAATCATGGAATCCGGGAGGTTCCCCAAAAGGAAAGTAGCCTTCCAATACCCTGCTCTCAGATTCCCACGATTGGAGGGAGAGTACTTTGGGTATGTGCCATCCCCAGTACCAGTTTCCAGTTCTGAGGCACAGAGCTTGGCTGAAGGGCCATGGCTGAGTACTTGCCTAAAAAGCGAGGGTCTTCCAAGCGGATTTCGCCACAAAAGCCTCCTCTGTTCATCAAGGAAAGTACACTCATCAGCGATGACCAGACATCAGTCAGGTTTGCGAAGTTTTGCAAAACATGTCCGAAGCATCAAGGGTCAAACAATGGACGTCTGCCTTGTCCAGTCTTCTTTTGTTTGCTATCACATGCAATCTCAAGTCTACCGTGGTAGTCTACCAACAATTACAAGATTGCCTAATATTTGCTCATGTTACATCTCTAGTCATTTGGTCAACATATGATGTCAAAAGAGCTGCCAGCGGCGTGGGATGCAAAAAACATCGCGACTTTTGCTCCGGGATGTCCCGTCCGCCCGCACGAAGTGCCGCGCACAGTCGCTCCACCACCTCTGAACACTGGCTGTAGGTCTCCTCGCCAGACACCTGGGGAGAAAAATCTGCGCCGTGTGACTGCCGGCCGGATCTTCAAGAAGATCAACACCATCAAGTGAGCACCCCCAGTCGACTCAGAGGGACCCCGAGAATCTCGGTTTGGTTTCCCTTCCAACAGGTTGGGGAGCCACCGGACCCGCGAGGTGCAGGGAGAAACTGGAAAGATGGCTAACAATGGGCCGTCCCCTTTTGGCTTTTTGGGATTATTCAAAGTTGTGGGCAATCTAGCACCCAGATCACAAGCCATCTGCCAAATGGTCTGACGGGGCTTGTTGCTCAGTGACCCCGGTGTCTTCACTTCAACCTCAATCCTGATATCTGACAACTGTCTGCTACCCTGGCCAAGCTTTGTGACTCGAATGCTACCACACACCGGACATGTAACATGCCCCAAGAGCCCTCCGGCATTTGGAGGAAGAAAGCGTGAGAAAGAGGAAACGCTGCTGAACTACAGTGTCGTGTGGCCTTAAAAGCTGGAAACTCCTCGTTCAATTTGCCAAACTGTTTGTTTGATAATTCCATTGATTAAGGTGCCACAAAAAGAACACCATGCTTGCCAGTCACGAAAATATATGCGGCCATGTCCTGTACAAACCGGCAAGGGAAAAAAGGCAAATCTCCTGATCCCCACAGCAAACGTCAGCACTCCTCGTACTCGGAATGGTCAAGGTGACCCAAAAAGAAGAGAAGCCCTTGTCGTGGACGCCTAACATGCAACTTGTAGAGGAAAACCGTCCTTGATGATTAGCTCTAATTCGAAAGCCTGAGCAGGGACAGTGCAAGAAAGTGAATTCCCGGTAAACAAACACGCAACACACCGATGATTAGCTACCTTGTTTTTTTTTTCTTTAGTCAAATATCAACGTAAAAACAAACAACAATAAGCTGACCATGGCGCATGGAGGTGTCTTTGTTGCAGGTCCCTCTTTGTTAGTTTGGTTGACAGGGAATCACAAGCAAACCATTTTCAGTGATATGTGGTATGCGAAACAACCACAACCCCGGTAAGTTAGGGCAATTGAGAGGTTTCCGTGTCCCCTTTGCAAGATTTGCTGCATCAACCGCACCCATCCCAAATTCAGGACCGTGCCTCCGTGGGCTTTGGGCGTTCGCACGCTCTGGCGAAGTGCCCCAGCTCCCCGCAGTTGTGGCAGCAGCTGTGATCGTAGCGGCAGTCCTATCAAAACCAAGGCTCGGACCATCCTAAACTCCGGCAAAAACAGAGTCCATGTGGTGCTCCCCCGCTGAATGCTTTGGGGTCTCTGCCCAAAAAAGCTATGGGCTTCTTCGGAGCAGCTCCAAGAGAGTCTGGATGGGTGGCAGGGTTACGTCGGGGATGCCACCTGGCCACCTGGGCAGAGTAAAATCCAGAGAGCTGAATGGGGTGCTGTAAAGGGCAACCCAAAGCGAACCATCCGTTGGAGTTCGAGCATGTTTGGAGACATGCGCATGGCGGTCTTTCAGAACCCAAACCACCATAGCATATGTTGTTTCTTGCCCGGTGGACAACACAAGTAACGGGTCACATGCTACGCGTGTCCTCCTTGGAGCAGTGGCCATAGTTGGCGAAACGGCAAATCTCTTTGCCCTCCGCCGTCCTGGCGAGATGTCCGAAAGGCAAAATGGTGGCACAGGCCTGGCAGCCACGCTTTTGGGGGTTGGGCAAACCTCGACATTTGCCTAACCTGGGAAGCCCGCTTTAACATCCCCGCAAACGTGGATTTGCCTAACCCCTCAAAGCTATGACCCTCTCCATCTCACAGCATACCTTCTGAACACAACATGCTCTTGGATGGATGAATGGATGGATGGATGGATTGGATTGGATTGGATTGGATTGGATTGGATGGGATGGGATTGGATTGGATGGATGGATGGATGGATGGATGTGAATACAGCTTATGCGAAGCCACCCTTCCAAACTACATCTGTTCAATAGAAGTGCGCAAGTCACAACTGAACTAGCTCTACAAGAGGGACTTGTTAGCAGATCCAATCTCCGGGCCTAGGCAAATCTCAGAACAAATGTGGGCAGTTGCTTGCAAACGCGAGCAAACTAGCAGGGCTGCCCTGTGGCTGGATCTTTTGGGCTTCCCGTTTAAAACCAAAGGAGGCTAGCATTCTGACAGATCGTAAGTTCACTTCGACGTGATCCCTAAATCGATCTGCCTGTCAAAGAACATGTGGAAGAATAGAACGGTGCAAACAACAAATGAAACACAGATCTAACACACCATCATCGGAAGTCGATTTCGAGGTGAGAAGCGGGATGCCTTGGGATATTATATGACAGTGTATGGTTGAAGATGCACACTGTGTCGGTTTGAAACTCCGGCTTCTTGTACTTGACCCAGAACCTTGAACATAGTGTTGTGCAACACATCTTCTAACACTTGCCACCATAAACACACGTTCGATCATTCGTCTGGGCAAGCTTGAATCTCTCACCCAAAATCCCCACCACAGGGAACTTGATGATTATTCCGTTCGCTTCATTGACTGCCTAGTTGCGTTGGGAGGTTCTAGGTTTCCTTTGAGGGTTCAAGCACCCCCCAGCGCTTGAATCCGAATCCAGTACTAAGCATTTGAAAGGCTTAAGATGGCATGGGGCGCCACCCCTCCCTCAAACCTGTCGGACAAATGACAAATTGGGGCAGGGGGTTACTCCGCAAGTGAAGGGCTCCGTCGTCCACACAGCACTCTCCGTATCAAGCAGCCAGGGCTTGAGCCTAGTCTAAAGAAAAACAACCATACATCATCAATCACGTGCTCTAGTGAAAGAGAAACCCTCCAATCTCCAATTGCACCAACAACATCCCTACCCCCCAAGAAGTGTCCCCCCCCCCCCCCTCATTCTCTGGCCCTAAACAAGTGGGGATCCAAAAACGGCAGGGGGCTCCAGACTCTACCAGAAAACTCCGTCTCCGCCTTCGCACAGGCCGCTGCAAGATCTCTTGCATGCGTCGGCGGCGCTTCGCCGGCCGAACGAAGGACCGAGTGAGCTCCTGCGAAACGGTCGGTGCCCTTTAAAAGAAGGGACCTGTATGGATTCATGTTGGGAAGGAGCCCCTTCCGTGGACACCAAAATGGGCCACCCCTATGACTACGTTGTCACTTCGAAGGGAATGTCCTTGGTGCTGGAAGTGGCTGAAACACACTATGGAATTGTCTCAAAAGGATATCCTCGAATCGCCCGGAGGGTTGCCGTTGCCCTCGTTTTGGAACGTTATCGGAAAACCTTCACAAGGATGCCTGCACAGGAGAGGCTTGGAGCAATGCCACGTCCCTCCCTCACCCATCTGTCCATCTCCTGCCGGCGGTCTCACTCTCTCCGTTCGTTTGCCTATGCGTTCCAAGAGCTGAGGCGCCCGATAGCTCCTCCCAGCAGTGCTTTTGGTCTTTTGCACGGTCCAGCTCAGCGGCAAGGGCGTCGCTCTTCACCTGCGGATGTTCTCGGATGATGGAAACGATTCCCAGTTGCCGCCAATCAAACCTCTGGGCTCTCCTCAGATCCCCTGCTACAAGCTTCACTTCTAGTGGGTTTACGGGACGGCTGGGAACCACCAAGACCTGACAGGGCCTGTAAGGGGAGGGTATCCAACGTTATCCCAGCCCAGTGACCCTGGCAAAGAGTTGAAACCCGCTCTGGGGAACTTCGAGGGTGCCGAGCAAAGTTGCAAAATGAGTTCAGCGTCGATCCTAGTCAAGCATAGCAGCATAACCATGATGAACCCTCATGTGCAGTGTTTAGGGGAGAAAATAGTTCCCCCCGCCCACATATAGAACCTGCATGGAGGTGGTTCTTGGAAGGGTCATTGAATTGGGCAGGGGGCCTAATGACCATCTCGAAAAAATATACTGTTGGTTTGTATCTGCGGTCCAGGGAACACCCGGCATCCTTTGTGCCCCAAACCCTCAGCTGGCAAACCAGTTCGTCAAGCAACGGAAAGTGCTTTGACCTCCAAAGAAATGAGCTGATGCAAGTCAATCATGACAATCGTCCACCTGCCTCCTGTGTCCTGTGCAATTCTATTCGAGTCACCAGGATAATCGGATATTTTGCGTCGCCCCTTAATCATTGTAATTTAGTCTGATGCTGTAGCATGGCCTAGCAAAGAACAGCTTGCATTGGCGACACGCCCACAGCCCGGCAATTACCTAGGGGCAATAGCAAGGCAGATCATAGAACACCCATCGAATGCGTGTCTCGAGCCCGTCTACACACCTGCACAAACATGAAGTCAGGCCCTAAGCATATTCCAAAAGCATTGCGCTTTAAGGCGCCATCTTGCACAAGAATGTGATCACGGGCTTCACATTCAAAATCGAAATGCAAACACCAAAAAGGCGCTTTTTGTTGTAAACTGCAAACGGCCTCAAAGAAGTGCCGTCCGCCACTCGAATGCAGGTCAGGCTGACAAGACAGCGGCGCACAGGCTCCAACGTGCGAATCATGTCGAAATGCACGGGCAGTCCAAGCAAGAAACAAAAGGCAAGCGCAACAGGACAATGGTCAGAGCACACCATACAAGAGTGGACAAGCAAATTTCAGAGTGGACGAAAAGCCATGGCCAACAACGGCTACACCCCGACTTTTAGTTGGTTTACGTTGTCCCTGCTCAAATCCACAAACCGAGAAAAGTGCAAAAAAAAACGGGCCAAAACCGCAGAAACAACAGCAAACGCAACCACTGTTTGACCCCGAAACCACGCATATTCTGAACATATATTTAAGCTCCGGAATTGCTGCAAACCCACCAACCCACAAACAACCAACCAACCCAACCACCCACCCACCCACCCACCAATCAATCACCCGCCCACCCATGCACCAAGCCACCAATCAGCCAGCCCCCCTCCGCGCCGCAACGTATCGCAAGTGCTGGGAGGTGGAGGCCAAGAGTTGAAGCCTCGGAACAGCCGTTTCGACGGGAGTGTAGCCTCGAACCACGCGGTAAGGGACAGTGACACCCCCCAAACGTAAACTTGTGGATCCATCCAAATTTGTTCACTTCAATGGACCACTCAGTGACTGAGATCTCTCAGAAGTTGTGTTTGAAGATTTCTCAAGTCCTTGGCAGGTTCGTGCCGGTGTACCAGAACAAGGGATCACTCTCTCTGTTCAGCGGATTTGAGAAGTCTATGGTTTGGGTTTGACCAGTGCTGTGCAATCCTTGTTCAAAGAAAAACATGTTGGCAGGCACCCTTCGGTGAGGTTTCATTAAACTAACTCTGGCTGGGGCAAGCAAATCACCAACCCAAAACAACTGACGCCTGTATCAGGGTCCTTCATCACGAGCAAGGTCGCAAGCCTCCAAAACACGTAAGGTCTCTATAACTTGCCCAAATGTTTTGGTTTCAGCCAATTTTACCACCCCTTTCAAGCCATGTTGGGGTTTGAACCAACTCTGTTTGCGAGCAAGCTATGTATTCTATTTAAGTCAATTCACAAACTCAAGCAACGGTTCCCCTTCAAATATAATCATTTGCCCGAATGCTTCGGTATAAACCAATTGCGCATCTTTGGCAGACAGGGCAAACCACGTCCAGCTACAGTTGACTGGCCATCAACCCTTGAGCCGCACTTCCCATTGTGCCAACGATCTTTACCTTCACAAATGCAAAAACATGATAAGTGAAAACGATAGGAGATCAACCTTTGGAAATCGTGATGCCCTGCCATGTTTCAACCTGGCGAACGCGGGTGAGGCAAAATCGGTAACCACCATGGTGCCACATTCAAGAACCACAAGAACCCCGTCCGTCCGTCGCGGCCAACCGCCAACTGAGCTTGTGATTTTGTCCTATGTTCTCATGACATTATTCAACCTTCCGCGAACCCTTCCGCCAAGCTTCCACGGCGTGAGCCGTTGTTTCCGCGGACATGTTGTTGCTAAAACCTTTTGGTTGCTTTTTCTTCCGCGGCCACAGTCCGGTTGATTTCGGCCTTCTGTTGTTACAATGGACGCTTTAACACATAAAGCTGAACCTTCCGAGCAGCGCAACTTCCCCGAGACAAACCTTTCCGCAGCTTTCCAGAAGAATGTCCCCCCGCTTCCACGGCATGTACCGGGCAAAGAAAAAGAAGAAGCTGGGCTGCTTCCGGGTGGCAGCTCCACCACATGCGCGAGCTCCCGGTTGCCCCCGATGTCTGCGAAGACCGCAGAGAAGGGCGGGTCGCAGGAGGCCAGGATCCTGTCCCCAAGAAGCGGAACCGGGACCTGAAACACTCATTGAAAGCATACACCCTGCAGCTCAGTCACCGTTAAAACCATGGTTGGGTTCGTACCACTGTTTGCCTAAGGATTGTCATCATCCCAAATTGGGTCAACCATTCCTTTAGTGGGGGTTGAACCCCAGGGATACAATGAGGTGACACCGGGAAATGGCCGGGGCAAAGCTCCTGTTTGGACCACCCAAAAAAGGGAAACTGGCTGGAAGACAGGCCGCTATTTCATGTCCAAAGCCCGGTGTTTCTACTACTGTTGGGGCGGAGCTTGTTTTGCGTTTGAAGCATCAAACGTAGGTGTTCGCAACCTGCACCAATGGCGTGATCAGTAAACATGAGTAAACATGAACAGCTTGTGGAAACAAACCAAACCGACTCAGGACAGCGCGAACACGTACACACCTCCAAGTCGCTCAAGTCAAGAGTCAAGATATGTTCGCTCAATAAGTCTCCATATTCTAGGCTATGACATACCTCAGAAAAGTGACATAATTCCTGTACGTACTGTTGTGGAGGCAACGTGTTGACGTTAAAGGCCGAATAATCTGGAGACACTTGACTAAGACATCCCACTGATAATAAATCAGACTTACTAGGGGCAAACACTCCCTCTGGTAAGAAGGAGCATAGGAACGTATCTCGATGTCAACTCACCTGCTATTGCTAGCTTGGTTGCTCACACCCAAAACTCTCAATCAAGCCCCTACCATGCTTCACTGAAGGGAGGTGTCAAAGGATTCCGAACATCGACCTGACCCGACCAACAGCAAGCTCAAAAAAAAGCTCTAGACGCAAGTCGGTCCTCAAAAGCTCTGGATGAGCTAGCACATCAAGCCGTTCGCTGCGAGCGCAATCCTGGATCAAGTGGAGGCTCCAGAAATCTAAGAAACACTTTCTATGCCCAGGCTAATTACCCCTGGACTCCGGAACTTGGTGCGATCGACTCGCAACTCGAGAAAGGTCAAATTTGAGGTGAAGACCTACCCTCGTTCCAACTAAGTGATCTTGTCCGAGGGGGTCCAACATGTATGTCTTTGGGGCGGTCCAACAATCATGGAAATGGACCCGGTGCCTCTTCACGAGGAATGTAGTTGAAAATCCTCCTGTGCACTTCCATGATTGTTTGAAAGAGGGTATGACTCAGTATGGCATAGTCCACAAATGCCAGCAACCCGCCCTATGAAACAGAGTCAGCTGGGCCTGAGTCACTATGCACCGTTCACAAAGGCGCCAAAAGTGGCAGGTTGAAAATACACATTTGGCAACCCTCCAAGACATTCAACATAGCCTGGCATGAAACCTGAATCAGTATTAAACAACACATAGAGCCTTCTGATACAAATGTCAGTGAAAAACATAGAGCCTTCTGATACAAATGTCATCAACTGTCAGTGAAAACCTGGCGTGAAGGCCCCCAATCCTCCCCACGTTGGCGCCTGAAGGTCCATGGGTCCCTTCAAGGAAAATTCATCTGCAGCTTAATGTCCATAAAGCCTTCCGTCAGACGAGGTGTATACATGGGGTGTTCTTGTTTGGGGAACCCCCTTCTGACGTTGAAGGCAAACCGATCTAGAAAAGAAAAGTTTAAGCAAATCATTAGAGGCCCCCTACTCACCAAAATGGTTCTCAACAGCCTTCCATCAACACCCTTCCAAGGAACCTCTCGGAAACATTATTGGTTGTTGGGGGGCCTAGGTTGCATCCTGGCGCGCGTGTTTTCGTTTTGAGATACCCTTTTGGGGTTGCGCTCAAGGGAATCCAAAGAAACGCCACTCCTTTTGGAGGTTCCTTCTGTTGTGTCACAAACCCATTCATTCCGGGGTAAAACTAGATGGCAAAATCCGGTTGCTTTCGGCAACGGGTGTGATTCACCAAACTGGGCTGGCGTGCCACCCCTCACCCAACTGCAAATATGTCGTTGTGTCACTCTAAATAGGGAAACCCTCAACATGGGCCGATCCCTGCCCAGCTGTTCCGCGTCCCTGGGGTTGACGGAAACCAGAACGGGGGCTTCCAGGGTGCCGCTGAACGGCTGGACCTTGGTTGCCCCCTTGAAACCAACCCAACACAACGTTTCTGGGGGTCATCACAGTTAAGTGGGGTTGCTTAGCTTTCATCTACCACTGCGGGGGTTCCTTTGATGGCCAAAAACCCACTTAATCAGGAAAGCAACCCCCCCCCCCCCCAGCCCAGCGGGTCCAGCTCCATCTCTTCCAGGCGCTGTGAGGTCAGCTGCACGCACTCCTCCCGTTCCCTTCACATGGTTGAAGCAACTGGTCAGATTGGAGCAGACCAAAGTTTTGGCTTAGGTTTGGGGCGTAGGTTTTGGCTTAGGTCTGAGGTTTGAGGTTTAGAGTTTTGGCTTGGGTGTAGATTTGGGCCTTGATTTGGAGTTTTGGTTTCGTCTTGGTTTAGGGTTTAGGTTTAGGGTTTGCTTACGGTGGCTTAGGTTGGGCTTTGGGGTTTGTGCTGAAGCTTTGGCTGGGTTGCAGTTTTGGCTTCAGGTCTAGGCTGCGGGTTCAAGCTTAGGGCTTGGGATTAGGGCTCAGGCTTTGGAAATCCATTTCGCACCACCGAAGAAACCCTGGAATGAGTCGATTCCCCTGCAAATACCAACAAACAGTGGACTCCCTTGGTTTCAAAGCGGTGCGAAATGGATTTCGTCCATCCACAATAGGATTAGGGTTTGAGCCTCTCAAGGTTTCGGGCGTTTAGGGTTCAGGTTTGGGGCGTAGGTTCGGGGCGCAAAAAAAAACCGTGCAAAACTTTGCGTAACTCTAGGCATTCGGTCAAACGAGTTCCAATCTCCAAGGAAGGAATCTCTTCCTATGGCCCTGCCAACAGTGTGCATGGCTGCTTGGCTTTGAAATGGAACCCCTTTTGGGATGGTTGTTTTGTCAGGAAACCAACATGAAAGCAGAATTTGAGAGGGGCCAGCGGTCCGATTCGTTGCAACACCCATTCAGCCGTGCTGGTTTCTTTTTTGCCAAAAGTGAAACCTGTCTGCGAATGGAGCATGTTTAGACTTAAACTGAAACGCGTCCCAGTTGCTCAGTGGCCTTGGAGATTCATCATAGTAATGTTGGACCTCCTTTAAGAAGAGTACCCTCTTTTGTAGAAGTTTTCTTCCAGCTGACTGGTTCCACTGTTCAGGGGGGGGTCCGTGTAAACAGGGTCCAACATTCTTTGCCTGGTGCACCACTTGGCTTAGAGAAAACAACACCGAAATGGTTTCTGTTTGAGACATGCAAGTGTTTGCTTCAACTGGCCTCATTTTACGATCCAAGCCACCCCAGCGTGGAAAAAGAAGAATTGCCGCCCCTTTTCTTGGGCAGTCTTCAGTGGCACCGAACTCCAATGGGTGTTTTGTTCTTTCGGTTCCAACTAACAAAAACGCTTTTGGTCCAAAAAACGACTCAGGGACTCCAGTTGCCCGGCGGCTGAGCCGCTGAGCCCATTCCAAGTCCTTGGAGGTGTCCAAAGCCAAAACCTCCGTGGCGCGCTCCGCCAGGATCACCGTGCACTGGCCGAAGCAGCAGCCTCACACGACTTGAAAATTGTGGGCCCCCCAAAAAAATATGTTGATATTGTTTAAGTATTGTTCTACTTACTTTTATAAGCACTTCTTGAGCACGGCTTAAGTACTTCTATGAGCACTGTCTATGCACTTTGATCCAAAGACCCATTCTGACCCTCGGGTAACATGTGAACCTTCAGAAGTGTAATATGCACGGGTGCCTTGAAGTCGTAGCGGAAGCTCCTTTTCTGTGTCAGCTTTTGGACGTCAGCAAGTGTACGTAAGCTAACCAAACGGCACCACACAAGCAAGCGATAACTCTTTTATCCAAGCAATGTGTTGGTGCCAGGGACTCATCTTCCCCTGTCAGATGTCTACGGCTGGGTGGGCCCCATGGGCCACCCACCACAAACTCTCAAAAACTGAAGAACGGGTGTGCAGACTGATAGCGCCCGCCCCTCACGGGAGCATGGGTGGGCCCACGCTAAGATCAAATGCATCTCCATTCAGGAGACGCGGGAGAAAAATGAACTCCTCGCAGAGTTCCTGTTTAGGAACTCTGTGCAAAGGGTCGAACCCCGAGAAATCTGGGTGCGTCAGCTTGGTTGGCCGCCAGCGAGCAGCCATGGGTGTGGAGCAGGAAGACCAGCTCCATCAGGATAGCCGCGGTGTAGGGCTTCTTGGATCCAAGGTTGAGCATCGCCATGACGTTGCCCTGATTGTCACTGCCCACCGGGAGTCGGACCCGGGAGGACAGAGGGCCTTGGTGCGTGAGGATCATGTTACAGAGGAAGAGCGTGCCCAGCATTTCCAGAGCCGCAATCCTCCGCTTGGGATCCCCATTCTTGAATGCCCACGGGTACTCCTCCACGTGGATCTGCTCGTGGAACCAGTACACCTCCTTCTTCTCCGGCTCCACTTTGTTGGAGCACCAGCCTCCCACAAATGCCAGTCCTTCATCCGAGGCGCTAGCATCGCTGCAACCCCACCAAGAGGACTTCGGCAAGTAAGGGGAGTACTGGACGAAGGGCGTGTTGAAGAGGAACCGCAGCATGAACGCCAGCATCCTGACCACCTTAGGGGGTTTCCCCACCGTGGTGGTGGCCATTTTCCAGGCCCACAGTGGCTGAAGCATCGACTTCGCCAGCGGACATGCAGCAGTTGCCCATTGGATGCGGCCCAGGGCCTTCTCGATGTCCTTTGAGTGCATCGCCTGCCCTTCCACCATGATCTGCAAGACCTCCATCACCAGGATGTGTTTGTTGGCGGCCATGAGAACCTGCGGGATGTTCGGGTGGACCACGAAGCCCAGCCACGTGTTGACCTCCGCCAAATGTGTCTTCTTCCAGCTAAGCGGGGTGCCCAAGGCCAGGAGTGTTGCCAACAGCGCCACCGCCAAGTTCACTGCCCCCTTGCTGCGAAGCAGCCACAGGAAGTCATCCACAAAGACGAAGTTCCAATCCACTTGAAGGAAAAGTGCGTAGAGGACCCTGAGTAGAAGGGCTGCCAGGCGTCCCCAGTAGGATTGGGCACTGGCCATGCCGTATGTGCCTACCTTGTTCACCCACCATTCTTCCCCCAGTGAGGCGACCTGGAACCGCCAGTCCTTCCTGAGGACCTTCACTCTCCGGTGGGCCTTGGTGACGTCCGCCTTGAGCAGCACCCACCTGGTGCCCGGCTCCGGCCATTGCCAGCCCTTGGGTGGAGGTTTAGCGACCTCCCTCTCGGGGCCGGGGGCACCCTGAGAGGGAGGTCCCTCCTCAGCTGCCGCATGTAGCCAATGAAGAGCTTGTACCCCATCCAGCACCGTCGGAGCCGTCGTCCTTTCCACCGTCTGGTTCCTGATGGTGTCATTGGCCCCGCCCACCGAGCCATCGTAGATGGTGCGGATCTTGTCCCCTTCGTCGATGCCCGCTAGGGGGCTTGGGCAAAGATCCTCCATATTGCAGCCACAGCGCGCTGCTGCCTCTACCTTGGTGAGAGGGCCATCTACCATGCCCATGCAGACCTCCTCCAGGAATGTGCTACGGATGAGCTCACTGAACTGATCCGCTGAGGGGTAGTTACCCCGGCCCGTGGGATGAGGGAGTTCCTGGAACTCCGGCTCCTCCCCTTTTAGCTCCTTCTTGAGTGGCCAGATGCCCGGCGAGACAGGGGTGGGTCCGTGACCCCCAGTGGGATCCCTTGTTCCAGATCCCGAAAAAACTGGTGGTCGGGGTCCTGAATGTTCATCGCCAGGCTGTGCAAGATGTCCAGGAAGAAGGGTTGGCCTTCCGCTGGTCGGCCTGCCCCTGGCGCCAGGATCTCCCTGATATCTTCCAGCAGGTCCTCCGGGAAGGGGTGTGACCCGTCCCCCAACGAGAGCGACTCCTGGAGTTTGTCCCCCCATGGCGACGTGAGGACACAGATCTTGGCCCCCAGCGCTGCTGCTTTGGACAATGGCCGAGTCCACGGGGCCAGCCGTCCAAGTGAGGGCTTCCCACCCCCGTCCCTGAGGGGGCGCTGTTTGAAGGCCATCTGGAGGTACATAACCTTGTCGGAGAGATTTGGGTCGTGCGTGATCGGCAGGGTGGTGGGCCGATCCGAGATCTCCATGCAATGGCGTGCCCATGGCTGAAGGGGAAGAGTTTCACCCCGTAGTTCGACCTCCCTGCTGTGTTGGTGTCCGGACCTCAGGATTGTCTGAGGCCGAGACCGGACGTGAGCCCAAGGTTAGTCCCGCCAACGCTTGTTGGCCGGCCTTCAGCCTCAGGGACTGGCGCTTGTTGTCCCCCCGGCGTGTGGGGAGATGGTTCCCTCTGCCGCCTCGGGGGGGTCGTTGGGTTCACTTGGGGCACCGTGCCCCCCGGCCTCAGCGCCTCCAGGACGGGTCCCGCTCTGCAGAGGATGGCCGCTGCGAGACCCTGCATCATCTGCTCTGGGTACCGGCTGAGGTCACTGGAGTTGAGCTTTTCCCCCCTGGGGTGAGCTCCGTGGTTGCATCGCAGATCATGCCAATGGTGAAGGGGAAGGTCCGTTGACAATGTCGTGGACTTCACTACCACCTGGCCCAGGCGGCACTCGTCAAACTTGATGAGGGAGTGGTGGAGTGCGTTCGCCCATTGAATATAGGCCCGTGTGACCCAGATCGATGAGCACCTCGCTGCGCTCGGGCTCTTGCTGCACTCCATTGGGTCCATCGGGTGCTCCAGGAAGGAGGAGCCCACCTGCGGGACCGTTCGTTGACCTAGTCCTTGGTAGGCCAGCGAGGTCAGGTACATCTGTCGGAGCATGAGCACGCTGTCGTTGTCCGTGTCCTCCCTTACCCGGGGCTCCAGGTCCTCCAAGCCCCACAGGGTCTGCTCCGCCCTGCCCCTCACCGGCGGCGGGCGGGAACCATCTGAGAATGCTCCACGTTCTGCAGTTGGGGCCGCCCCCCACAAAGGCGACCTTGCCCGCCATGGCCATGGAGCACATTGTAGAGTATGGCTCGTCTCCCAGCATGTCATGTCCAAGATCGCCACCCTTTCGCCTAATGTTGACCTACGATTAGTAAATAGACCATGAATAATGCTAACCGATTTCCAAAAAAATAATAAATATACCATGAATAATGCTAACCGTTTTTTTCCCAGGGGAAAAGTATGAAAAAATACAAAATAATATAACGTAATTCCAAAAAATAACCTTCCCCCCACATGAATGAATGAATCCTGAGTTCCCCAGCTCACAAAAGAACCTAGAATTCCCATTGGGATCCATGCAAAATGCAGATTTTTATTCAGGGTCAGTGCTCCCAACCTTCATCCCCCATGGAATTTGCATGGTTTCATAGTGAATTTATCCATGGATCATGCCAGGCAAACCTGATTTATCATGGGATTTGCATGCTTCTGGCATCTAATCTTTATTCAGGGTCAGTGCTCCCAACCCTCATCCCCCATGGAATTTGCATGGTTTCATAGTGAATTTATCCAGGGATCATGCCAGGGAACCATGATTTGCCATGGGATTTGCATGCTTCTGGCATCCGGTCTTTATTCAGGGTCAGTGCTCCCAACCCTCATCCCCCATGGGATTTGCATGCTTTCATAGTGAATTTGTCCAGGGATCATGCAAGGGAATCCTGATTTACCATGGGATTTGCACACTTTTGCATCGAATCTTTAGTCAGGGTCAGTGCTCCCAACCCTCATCCCCCATGGGATCCTGATGCACCATGGGATTTGCATGCTTCTGGCATCCAATCTTTATTCAGGGTCAGTGCTCCCGACCCTCATCCCCCATGAGATTTGCATGGTTTCACAGGGATCATGCCAGGGAAACCTGACATGGGATTTGCACGCTTCTGGCATCCAATCTTTATTCAGCGTCATGAACCCTCAGACTCTAAATAATAACCAGACCATGAATAATGCTAAGCAGATTCCCCCATCAAAAAATAGATCTGATCCCCTTATCTTTATTCATGGTCAAGCTTTCCATTCCACTTGGCTCATCCCACACTTGATTCTAGATTTATCCCAAATCCACAAACTTATGGGATCCCTTTCTTTTAGAATTCCTTTTAAAAAACCATCAAAATCAACACATTGACCCTGGCAGCAAGGGTACCCCCCATGAACCCTGAGGCACTAAATAATAACCAGACCATGAATAATGCTAACCAGATTCCCCCATCAAAAAATAGATCTGATCCCCTTATCTTTATTCATGGTCAAGCTTTCCATTCCACTTGGCTCATCCCACACTTGATTCTAGATTTATCCCAAATCCACAAATTTATGGGATCCCTTTCTTTTAGAATTCCTTTTAAAAAACCATCAAAATCAACACATTGACCCTGGCAGCAAGGGTACCCCCCATGAACCCTGAGGCACTAAATAATAACCAGACCATGAATAATGCTAACCAGATTCCCCCATCAAAAAATAGATCTGATCCCCTTATCTTTATTCATGGTCAAGCTTTCCATTCCACTTTGCTCATCCCACACTTGATTCTAGATTCATCCCAAATCCACAAATTTGTGGGATCCCTTTCT